TCTGTCTTTGTGTCTTGCTTAAGTGTTTTCTCATTTCTATTTTTGTTGTTGGGTTGTCATTGGTTTAATTTCTGGGTATTACTTAAATCTTCCTGATATAGTTGCGTTTTAGCTTTTGAGTTTCTAATGACTCATAGACATCCTCATTTTCATAATATCAGAGAAAACAACTCTTTAAATCAATCACAACCCTTTATCCCAATTGATACATTCAGCAGCCCAATAGAATCAGGCACAGCTTGCAAACTGACCACTTGTGGTAGTCATTAATGTATCACCTTTAACTCATGTGAATTAAATTAATTTCAAGAAGCAGCCCATAGTGTGTTTGCAGTGAATATGCTTTTCAATATAGCATCTTTACCATTTAGGATGGGGGGTTAGAGTGAGTTAGGACGAGAGGAGTAGATAAGTGAAAGAACTGGAGCAGGTTTGAAGTGAATCCAGAGGATGTAGAATCACCTTACTATCTTTACAAAGCTATTAACTTCAGGTGGGATAGAGAGAGTGCAGGAATAAGGACAAGAAGATATCCCCTTAACAATAACAGGCGCTTGCCTTCCCTTGAAGGTACAGAGCCATGAGTGAGGTAAAATGACTGGAGAAAAGAACATAAAGAGAAACCCCTCCTAAAGAGAAAAAATAATAAAAGAAGAAGTCTGAGTTAGGGCAGGAGCTGGAATAAAAAGCGAGATGAGGGATAATATGGTGGAGCAAGAGACTGAGTTGGAGAGAGAGGACAGAAAAAAGAAAGAAATTTTAGGGTGGAACGAGGAAAAGAAAAGAGAGAAAAAGAAAAAAAAGAATTTGAAGGTCCTCTTTCAGACTATGTCTCTGTTCTCATATTATACCACATGTACAGCCATATGCAGAACCGAATCCCCTGGTCTTGGCTAGCCAATGGCAGTTCCCCATGACTGAGACTGAACTCAGTCAACAAGGCCTAAATTGAGTTTCCCAACACTCAGAGTTGAACTCCACTCAGTTCTATTACAGGTTTCCCCTTTCTTTAAAGATGTTCAAAGTTGGGAGCTCAGAAAACTACTCTTCATGAGAACCCATGCCTCTGCAGAGTTGGTCCAAGGACTGGCCCAATCAGGAGGTTTGAGAACGGGGGTGGGGGGAGCAGGTCGTGGAGGTGTTTCAAGGGCACCTGCGGGGCTACCTTCCTTATTGGGTCTGGTGGCGTGCAGTCCGGGTTGTCACGCACCCGCTGGGTGATCTCATGCAGGCAGGCAGGTGAAGAGACCCCCTCCAGGGTCCTTGGGTCCTTACTGGGTCTGGTGGCGCGCTGCCCGGCTTTTTTTTTCCCTAACCTTTTAAATTATTCTTTGTTTGGTTTAAGGAATGTATACTCTATTCATGTATATATGATTAAAAATTTTAGCCATGCATAGCAGTGCATGCCTATAATCCCAGCACTCAAGAGGCTGAGGCAGAAGGATTGCCATAATTTCAAGGCCAGCCTGGACTACACAGTGAGTTCAAGGCCAACCTGAACTACGTAGTGAGACTCTGTCTCAAAAAAAAAAAAAAAAAAAAAAAAAAAAAGAATTAATTGTATTGTTAATGTTTTCTATATTTATTGTCATTTTGTTTGCCTAATCTGTCTTTTAAAGTTGTGGTATGTTATAATTTCTTTCCATAATTTTGGACTAATTTCTCCTTATAATGTTTTGCTGTTGTGTGGGTTCATTAAAATGAATGATTTTTTTAAAAAAACTATAGTAAAGAGTACTTTCAAGGGAAACTACTGTAATGGGAGTTTATGGCGGGGGAGAGAGATTTGGCTGAAATCCAGTTGGTTGCTTTTTTAATCATTATATAATTTCCCTCTTTATTCCTATTATAGCTTTTCTCTTTGCTTTGTTAGGGACTAGCTTTGTAGCCTTGAGCAAATGATATAACTCCTCAGTTTTCTTATTGCAAAATGGGGACAATATAATAATTGGAAGTATGCTTAAAGGATATGACAAAAATAGTTATCAGGAGTTTTTTTAAGTGGGCAAAGGTCGTGGAATATTTGTGTTTCAAACTCAGGATCTAACAATTGTTTAGAATTTGGTAGAGCGTTAAGTTTATTGGGCTCTTAAAAAAATTTACATTAAAACAATGTATCCAAGTATCTTCTACATTCTTCTGTCTTTGTAAAATAGTTGAGACAACTGAAAAAAAGGGAAAAGGCCAAAAAGCAGCCTTTTGAGGTACTTACTTTTCTAGAGTACTTATTGGACCTCAGTGGAATGTAGTTATCAGCAAGTTTTACACTTATTATATTTAGGCTACTAAATATATAGAGAGGATGTAAAGAACTATCATATATTTAGAGAATCAAAAGTATGTACTTTCCTCTCCTCGTAAAGACTTATCTTGTATTCTTGTTCTAAATTTTTACCATCCATTTATATAATGAATATGTTTTGTGTCCTTCCTATAGACTTGGTATCTTATATTTAAAAATAAATATAGAGAAGAGGAAAAGACAGATGTCATCTGAGAAAACCACATAAAAGTTTAAAAATATACAGCATTTGTATATTTTGTGACTAGACAGTCAAGGGTTTAGTGATGAAAATTCAAGTGTTCAGGCTCTGGAGAACCCTGAAAGTGATGTTGAAGAATTTTAAGTTTATTCTGGTTTTTGTTTGTTTATTTGTTTGTTTTTTTGAGACAGGGTCTCACTTTGTAGTTGAGACTGACCTGGAACTCACTATGTAGCCCAGGCTGGTCTCAAACTCACAGCGATCCTCCTGCCTCAGCCTCCCGAGTGCTGGGATTACAGGTGTGTGCCACCACCCCCGGCCAGTTTTTTCTGTAGATAGGTTAAAACCATTGAAGGCTTTTTGGGTTTAAAAAAATCAAGTTACATACTGAAAACATATGTAAGATACAGGATTATACACAGGTTATATATAGGAAAATAGGCAGTGTTGAGAAATAGAAAAATACAGTACTATGTGTAGAACTTAACCTCATTTAAAATGTTACATAGTAACATTGATTTAAGAGCTTTGACTATTGTTTTTCCCCCTTTTACCTTATCAGTGAGCCCATTTGAGCCCACCCTATATAAAATAAGGTTTTCCTTCCACCCTACATTTATTTTCTTCCTATAGCATTTATTGTCACAAGGTTTAGTTTGTATAAACATTTGTTGGTTGTCTGTTCCTCCCTAAGCACCATGAGACTAAGAACTCTATTTGTTCAGTACTTCTTCTAGTACTTAGAATAGTACCTGATTTGTAACCTTTAATATATTTGATAAATTAGTGAATGAATATTCAAATCGAGATGACCACAGTTTTTAATGTTCTTTGTAAACTGGACACAGTCTTTGTGCTTTCTATTAAATCTTGTTAAAAATTAATTATCTTTTCCTTTTCCTCCAGAATTTATATTCAGAGCACCAATCAAATTGAGCAAGCCTGGGGAACTTCGTGAGGAATATGAATGCCTGAGAAAGGTATAGTATACATGTTATTGTGACATTTACTTTCTTAAGGTAAATTGAAATAATTATGATTCATTAGATTTTGAAAAATTTACAATGCAGAACCTGTCTTTCTTCTTACTGTGTACTTTGTACTAGCCCAGTTAGGGGAATTACAATAGAAGTAAACTTAAAAACCCTTTTTTAGTTGTTTTTTCAAAGATGAAAATACAGCTTATATTACACACCTGTTACAATAACAAGTCACTAAGAAAGTTATTCTTGATACATTCAACAAGTCGCTTTGCTAGTAATTGTATTATTTGCTAGTAAATAGTATTATTTATGTTTATCTTGAAAGGTTACTTTAATGACATGTAGATAGTATTATCTTTTATTGCTTTCACCCTCTTAGAAAGTACTGCAGCAGAACTGTATTGGAGGTCGCTAAGAGAGTGATGAAATGATTTCCTAATTAGAAAATTTTGCCAATTGCTGTAGGAAGATTCTAGCTATGTCCACATAATCTTATTTTTGTTGTTTTCAAATTAATTGTCTGGGACTTAACCTAGAAAACTAAGACTTTAAAAACTGTAGGAAAAAGAAGTTTGAGGTATGCTTAAAATATACAGTAAATATTTAAGTTTTTCAGGGGTAGCAGACAAAGTAAATTTATTTGCAGACAAAGTAAATTTCAAACCAAAACTGATTCTAGTATTATTGATGTAGGATGGTACTGTATCATACCTCTGTGAATGTAAAATATCTTGTACCTACTTTATGATACATAGTAGGGGCCGTGCTTTATCAGAACTACATTTAATGATATTACTCTAGAATGTTCTCTTTCCAGATGATGATTAAGAGGCTAATAGAAAAAATGGTGCCAGGTACCACAACAGCAACAGGAAAAAAAAATTAAGTTTTTAAAACTATTACAGTAAAAGCCACATTGTCATTAATTCCCCTTAGAATACTCCCCCTCACTTCAAATACATTTAGACACACTTATCCCATTGTTCTTGCTCCTTCCTCAAGCAATTCTAGAAGTCCTTTCTTATGAGTGTTTTTAGTTGCACTGTCATAGCTACCTTGGTATCTTGCATCTATTCAAAATGTTTACTTTTCACAGTCATTTTGACTTTGAGAAAGACCTAGGAGTCACACAGTACCAGTGGATATGATGTTTTATGAACCCTCCTTTCCATTGGATGTTACTCAACAGCAGCATTCACCATATTTTTTATCATACCTTACAAAGACTTTCGTGAAAAAGTACTTTCAGAGCTGCTATAGAAAGTGGCAAGAACAGTGGGATAAGTGTGCTCAAAGTGAGGTGGAATATTTTAAGGAGGATTAATAGCAGTGTGTCTTTTACTGTCATAAATTTTTCTTAAAACATTCCCTGTATATTTCTATCACACATTGTACATTGCTGGATTTGTATCATTCTTCCTTAGCCTCTCCTTATACTACCACTGCAGGGATAGTAATGGTAATCAAATATAGTAACTTTGTAATTGATTAGAGAAATTCTACATGTGGATATTTAGTATTTATAAAGATAAATTTTCCACTTAATCTGAATCATCCATTATCATAAAAGTGAGACTGAAACATGAAAATATTATATCTCTCAACCTGTTAGATGTCTGATACACCAAGTTTGTATTCTGTAAAATCAAAGAATGAATTCTAGGAACAACAGAGGTTAATAGTAGGAAAATATTTATTGAAAGGATAACTTCTGAGAGTCAGGAGAGGGCCTCAGAGGGTAGCAGGGAATTTCACTTTACAGGGAAGTTTTATAGAGCCAAACCCATGTGGGTACAATGTGTGTTACAGTTATGATTAACCAATAAAGTTACAAGTATAGTCACTTAATTGACTATATAATAATGATCCAATGGGGAAAGGAGTCACGTAACAAGTATAATGAAAAGAACAAAGGCTTTTTCTAGAAAATAACCCATAGATCTTGGCCACCCACTGGGTGACTGATGTCTATCTCAACTTCATTAGGTCCAGTGTTTGTCTTTTGAGGAAGCACGCAGGCCTGGTCTCCAACCGTTGTGCCAGAGGCATGGCCACACTTGTAAATATGTTTTACCTTTGTCCTGACTCTGTCAAGGGCCTAGCCCTATCTGACTGCGTATAATATTTCTAATTTAGCTGTTCCCCCCTCTGAAGAAATATCCTGAACTGCCTCAAGGGAGCAAAGAGCAATGACCATTCTGGCTACTTCAGGCTGAAAGGGGTCATAGTTGTCTGTGGGGTGGTGGAGATTTTGACCTTTTATGTCCTTTAAAGGAACTCTCAAGGCAAGGCAACCAAAGTCCATAGAGAAGTCAAGTCTGCACAGTCAGTGGCATGGTGATTAGGGTTGGGGATCAGGCTACCAGTTGCAGAAGACCACTGGGCACCTGCTGGGGACTTACTGTGCAAGCTAAATTACCTGGTTATCTTTTCCCATTGTATTTAAATCTGGGTATCCTGGTCCTGAGCTAATGTTTAACTCAGAAAGTGGATCTAGTCTCTGAAAAGCTGGCTCCAAGTGTCCCCCTCAGATGTTTCCTTGGTTATATTATGCTTTAGATCTAGCACCAAAAGCAGGCTCCAAGGCAGGCCAGCTCCTCTCTTCTTTCTCCAACCTTTTCCTTTGCTATTTCCTGCCTTAAAACTATCTTATATCATTCTGTCCAGAATAGACAAATACACAGGACTAGGAAGTAGAGTATTGGTTCATTGGACCATAGAGTAGTAGGAATAGTGATTAATAGTAAATGGACATTAATTTTACTGAGGTGATGATTTCTAAAACTGATTTACGATGTGTTCCAAAACTTTGTAAATATACTAAGAGCAACTGAATTATACTCTTGAATTAGATAAATTGTATGATATGTAAAATATGCCTCAATAAAATTATAAAAAAATTAAGACTACAGCAGCACAGCACCTGTCTGGCAAGCGTGAAGTCCTGAGTTCGATCCCCAGTACTCCCTCAATTTAAAAGACTAAATTTGGATGAAGAAATAGAGAAAATAGGTCTTTTAGACTGCAAATTTTCTGAAACAAAGCAAAGTGCTTTTATAATTTAGATGAGCTGTTGGGAGAGAAACATCTTTATTTCTCCTGAGCAAAGGATTGTGAGTGGAAGTTAATTCTATACTACTCATTATTGCTAATTTGATATATAGCATATTATTATACCTTTTATTTTGTGTATCTCATTAAGTGACAGTAAAAAATTTTATAATGGCTTGCTGGGCATGGTGGCGTGTGCCTGTAATCCCAGTACTTTGGAGGCTGAGGTAGGAGGATCACCTTGATTTTGAGGCCACATAGAGTTTGAGACTATGTAGCAAGGCTCTGTCTCAAAACTACAGAAGCAACAACAAACCTTTAAAATGGCTTTAAAAAGTTAACAAAATTTATTTTATGCAAATGGAAGCAAGAGGGTGGTTAGAGAATCTGAAAAGGATTTGGAAGTTGAGAATCATTGAAGGGCTAGGTCAAAGAAGGCCTATTTTAACTAGTGAAGACTCTTAATTTATTTTAGGTATGTTGGGAAACAGGTAATATAATCTGGCTTAATTTTGAAGTCTCATGTTGCTGTGTAAGAAATAAACTTTAATGGACTTAAGAATCAAAAATTGTATTTACTGTTAATAGTAGAGACCCCAAAATAATGATTTGAACCAATAATGATTCTTTTCTGTGTGTGTGTGTGTGTGTGTGTGTGTGTGCGTGTATGTGCATGATTTGAGATTCCTGATAAATGAGTAAATTTTAGTTGTTCTTGCCTATCATAGAAACAAACAAAAAATGAGTAATTATATGAGATGATGGATTTATTAACTTGCTTTACTATGGTAACTATTTTACTATCTCTATCTTCTCCAGGTAACAAAAGCATAGGAGACAAGAAGTTTAGGGCTCATGTAACAGCCCCATTTGTTTGTTTAGATGTCTTTAAGAGCACTGTCCCTTTGTGGTATGAGATGGCCAGTTCTTCTCTAGAATCATATCCAGGAACTGGGCAGAAGACTGCATGTCGGCTGAATTGGCACTGAAAACTCTTTCAAAGAGCTTTCCCCAAAGCCTCCTACCCAGGGACTTCATCTTTATTTTTTAGTCCAGTGTCACAGACTCCATCCTGCTTGTAGGAAGGCTAGAAAGCATAGTGTTTTAGTAGGTACATGAATTTCCTTAGTAAAATCAGAGTTCTTTTAGTAAGGAAGGAGAAAATAGAACAGTTAGGATACTTTTGTCATAAGAAATATATTAAGTTTAACCAGGTTTTGGATTTTGCCAGAAGTATGAGAGAGAGATGCAATGGACTTGATGGTGTCTGTATATAAGGAATTTATTATAGTCTTTGCTCATTGATATAGGTTAAAGAGGGAAGTGAGGATCTGAGAGATGATGGGCAATGAAAGAATGGTAGGGTCAGTGGACTGGAGGTTCTGATGTTGAGAAAAGAATTACGGAAGTAAGATGACTGGCGAGCAAGAAAGCTGGAAAGCTAGAAAGTGGTGGTCTTAACATGTAGGGGTTTAAAAGGCAAGTGGTTAAATTGGGTGGTGGTTTAGTATTGCACATCACAAATACTTGAATATGACCATGGCAGCAGATAGCCAAAGAAGGATGGAGGAAAAGATTTTTAAAGAAGGGATAAAGGAACAGAGAGAGCACACTAATTTAGAAATCTGAAGCAATGATCACTAGAGTACTGTAGCTGGAAAATGAAATCTTGGTGCTAAGTTTTTCTTTGAATAAAGGGGAGTGACCAGAAAGGATCATGGGTGTTACAGCATGATGGTAAATACGTCAAAGAAGCTAGGATTTTTGAGGGTTAATATGTTCTCTTCTCCCTATGCATACCCAGATTGGCTGCAAGTATAGGCAATATGTTCTGTTCTGTGATTTGCTCTTTTCACTTAATATAAAAGTTTTTATTCTGAATTGTTATTTCCTAGTATGAATGTGGCAGAATTAACTTAACCATTCCATTATCATTGGCCATTTTA